AGAAATTTGGCCAACTTGGCGATACGTTTACTCTGTACGAGCGGCGATGGCATTTATAGGAGTAATTGAAAAAATAAAGATCAAAACAGACCACTGTGTCATGCTTCACGATTTGCTAATACAGAAAGCTACGGTGCGATTTGTTGGATCGAAGCACAGAACTGAGACGTTAGTATTTTGGTCCGTCCAATGTAGCCACCAACGCAAGACTTGCTTCACTGCTTTCGAAACAGCAATGAAGCCAAGGCTATTTTTGCTAGGTTAATATCAAAGGTGCAATGCATTACCTTTTCCATATTCTGCCTTCTCAATTAACTCACTAAAAGGTCAAGTAAGCAGGCAAACACGTGTTGTGGTGCGACCTTGGTACAAAAAGATTAAAATGATGAAGGTAGCATTAAATAAGCTGCACACCTGCCGAGGCTAAGGCAATGTCATCATAGAAATGAGTATGATGTTAGTGACTTCCCCTTTAATACGGAACTGGTGGAAAAAAATGCTAACAGCAATGTGTAATCTTTAGCGTTCACGTATGAAAATAACCAGCCTATCCACAGAATCGAGCGGTATCGTAAATTGAAGAACAAAAGGCTAGGCGACGACTTTGATTGAGTAGTTGAATGCCCGAAGTAAAGAGAACGTCTCATAACTACAACAAGCTAGTTAGCGGTAATAGTATGTCACGAAGTGCAAACGTTGAAATTACTCGCTCATGTCGAACCACGAATAAATGTCATTGCTACTTTCATTTGACATCCCGTGATGAAGACAAACCATTCGAGGTGAGCAACTTTAGACAATGAAGCTTGGTTTAGCAAAAATGCAGCCCCAAATCTACCACAGGGAATGAATGTACGCTAAAGTGGACCTTTTGGAACGAGAACATTTAGTTCAGCAGGGTAGTCATCGAAGGGAGGGCAAATTTCGACGATAGACTTGGCACATCCGAACGGTTTATTAAATCGCAAAGAAGGCGGCAACAACTGATCCATGTAATCTTTTAAGAGGAGGAAGTATGTGAAAGAAGTTTTGTGGCACCGCAATGATCTGATAAGGAAGGCTAGCAGTGGTTTCAGCTGCCGATTATAATAAACGAATGCGAGGATGAGGTGATAGACGTATTATCTGTTAAATAATGAAGTGAATAATTGGTGCAGTTATGATCCCGTTTGAAATCCCATGCGCGAGTAGCTGAGATACATTCCATAAGACTCAAATAAGTTCTTAAAGTTTCTGGAATTATGCTTTAGGGAATCGCAAACACATTTTGAAGGAAAAATAGGAGGGCTCAAACATGTTGAACACTATTCTCACCCAAGAACCTTGCGATCGGATGAATAGCAAGGACTGATGTGTAGAAGTGACGACAAATGTTATTCAGATGTAACTACCTGAATTCGAAATCAGGCGTGATCTAATACCCTCTACCCATGACATCTGTTTTGTGACATCACCCACAGAACAGATGCATCGATGAATGTTGGTACAAAAACAGTACAATTAAAAATAAACCGACTTGCGTTTAAATTCCACTAAATATTCCTTGACGTTAGCATACAGTGCATTGAAAGTAGGACAAAGGTGTTTGCTTTAAATTTGTATGCCTGCTCTAATAAGAAGCTTAGAGGTTGAGGAGAAGGCTGGTTTGCTGATGGTTTGACAACTGAGGAATGCTATTGCCATGGCACTGTTGAAACGGAGTCCAACATTCTGCTAATTAAGCTACACCAAGGCTAAGAATTGTGCTTGTGCGTGGGTGCGAGAACCATCGATGCACTCGCCCTCTGTACCCAAAGATTGGCTCGGCACAGTTACGCCGGCTGAATTGGGGACGACTTTTGAACTTCAACTGAATTTACTAATCAAGTTAACCACTTCTAATGATTAGTTATTTGCACTCTACTATGCACCTACTAGCTCCGACCAATGCGTCGTGCCACTCAACTCGATCACTTTTGAACCATTTCTTTTCAGTCGCACTATCAAAACAGACCATGTGTATTCTCCTGACTAAATGCAACCACTTAAGAGGCAATTTGCCGGAGAAATTGGTGTTTTCAATGTTATTGGTCGAGCTTACTGAAGCCACCAAAATACTAGCGTTTGGTTGATGTCTGATAAGAAAATGTATCACTTCGGTCGAACACACCTGAATAAAAATAATGGCTTATAGTCTTCAGTGACAGCAGCACAAAATGACCATCCTCATTAAGGATTTTAACTCTCCATTTGGATTTACAAAAGGAACTTATGCTTCATCATTAAGGAAATCCAAATGGGGTAATGGAACTCCGGAACTAGCTCACTTTGAGGAGACACTAGTTAAACTCGATAGGTCATTATCAAAAATTATTTTGCACCAAACTCAGCTGCATATTTACTTTCCTCAATGATTCAGTTAATTTCCCATTTTGGATATTAGGGTGACTCAAAAGGACACAACTCAAGAACCAATGCAGTAAGGCGAAGCTATCCACCAGGATAGTTTGAGCTGTAAAGTAGTGGTCTCAGGGAATTTTACACAAGAAAGGTGTGCTATACTCTCCTAAAGTCTCATAAACCAACATATAAACCATCCACTTAATCGATGGCTGTTGTTGTCGATGTTCTGAGCCAGTGTTGCGAATTTAAATGAGTTTAAAAAAAATTAATGCGTTCTGCAAGAGGCAGATTTTAGTTCTAAATTTTAAATTAAGAGCAGATGCTACTCAACCTTTCCAAAGGAAAGTTTGTAAGGATTTTGAGGGTTGTAAAGGGCCTACCTCCTCTAGGTTCTCCCTTTTTGCCCCAACCTGCCTCTCTTGTTTTACTTTCCAGCGCTGCTCTGGGAGAGATGTGACGGTCTCGTTAGGCAGAGAGAGAAAATCATTTGTCGGTTTGTGTTGCAGTTGCTGGTGGTGTAGAGGTGGTGGTTGTACCAAAGCCATATCAACCGGTCGAGTGTGTGTGGGCCACGTAGGTCCGGCCACCGCAAGACCAGGTGAAGTCTTAGGGCTAATGATGACGTTGACACCACCAGTGGCACAGAGTCGCGAGGGCCAGGCAGGCAAGCGCGGAGCAGAGCCGGACAAGGGACTCCTAGCTGAGGGGGGTGATGAGCGGGTCAGAGTAGGTGCACTTCCACCGGTAGGAACCGGAGATACCGCCTTTTGCGATGAGTAGGGCGCGATGGGAGAGAGGATTACGTGAGTTAGAACCCCATCCTCGTCCACAATTTGCTGCACCAAGTGTCCCGGGGGGACTTGCATCGGCATGGGCAGAGGCGGACCGTTGTTGAGAACTAACCGTACCGTTGCTGGTCCTAGAAGGGGGATAGAAAATCCTTCAGGGATAAATTTCAAAGCCTAGTAGATGTCGTTCAAAACTAAAAAACTGAATTTTGACCCAATAAAATGAATTGAGAATAGCACGTTTACTACAGTTCATGAAACCATACATCCATGAGCTTACAGACGGCAACACAGTGCTTAAATGCATTTTCAGAAGAGAACGGCTCAAACTATAGGCCTGGACATGTCTGCAAACTGGTTTTTTTTACGATAGAATTGCATCAAATGACAAGGCAACCTCGTCTCATATGAGATCGATGTTCTTGGGCCTTTGAAAAATAATAGAGCAGATGTTGAAATGTTCCTATTTACAAGCCTGTAAGTGAATTCTATACCACCGAAGCCACCACAAAAACAAGTTGGAGTAATAACACAGGACGCAATTTAGGCATATATTAAGTGGCTAAATGTGTCTAAGATAGATAAAAGTAGTGGAACGCTTATTGATCAGAAAGGTAAGGCAATTTAGAGCAGATAAGCTGACTTCCGGACAATTTTCATGCAATATTTTGATGTCGATAATGCCATTTGCCTCAAAATGGATAAGCGGATTGACCAAAGAGGAAGGATATGACGAAAAAGAGGACTAACGCTCGACCCGAGTACAAATATCAATAAATGCGAGCACTCTT